AAGACAGAAAAAACAGGCCATTAGTGATGAACTTATATAAACAGCAAACAATTTGAGCATGATTCAGAGATGAATGTTGACTTACAGGCTGGATATCAATGAAACCTTCTGAACTTCCAGGTTGATGGATCTGAAACTCTTCTCCCAAATGTGTAAGTAGGGAGGAGTACTGGCAGCAGCGTCAGGGCTACATCATCTTGTCTGTCTGGCAAACATAAGCTTGTGTTAAAATGTTAAATGTTAACAGTTTATAAACATCTCTTCAGCTTCAATACCTTAAGGGAGAAAATTCATGTTGTTGAGAAGACGGCCGCTCCTTTCTCTTCTTGGCCATACAAAAGATCTTCGTTGAGAACAAGAGAGAGAAGCACAAAAACAGGCCATTAGTGAATTTAAAGGTAAAGGGCTACATTCTCAAAAACTAATTTCTGACTGATTCTAGTTTAACACAAAACCTCACTATTGAATGTGATGCACTTAAACAATCTGAGCATTATTCAGAGATGAAGGTTGACTTACAGGCTGGATATCAATGAAAACATCTGAATTTCCAGGTTGATGGATCTGAAACTTCTCCCAAATTAGTAAGGTGGAGCAGGAAGGGGTACTGGCAGCAGCTGCAGGACTACATCACCTTCTGTATCAAACATAAGTTAGTGTTAAAATGTTACAGTAACTAAAAAGCATGACAACATTTTAGAGAACATTTCTTCTGAGCTTCAATACCTTGAGGGAGCAGTTTCATGTTCTTGGCCATACAGAAGGTCTTTGTTGAGAACAATGAGTTTGGGTTTTGCTCAATTCTCCTGAAGGTCCTAGATGTAAAATTACAAAATCTATCAGAAAAGACAAAATCACAAATCAAACTTTAAGAATGACTGCATTCAATCTTTTAGCTGTCTCCACTGCAAATAACTTGTAATTAGCCAGCAATATTTCAAATGTTCAGAGTAATTTTATGTTCCTAAAAATAAATATAGCACTTAATAAAATAAAATGACACATATAATTTAATTTAGAAGTAAAACTTAACACAAACTTAGTGCTGAATAACTTTCAGCACCAACTTTAAATAAATGTATTTGTAATTAATAGTAACAATAATAATAAAATGAGCAAACATTAACATTAGATATTGTCTTAG